GGTTAAAGTCACCCATGATCAGGAGCTTTGCCCTGCATGCATGAGCTCTTCTGGCCTCTCTAGCCAGTGTGTCAACCATCGCTCTATTGCTCTCGTCGTATTCTTGCCTTGGCCTCCTGCTGTTCTGTGGTGGGTTATACATCACTGCTATTACCACCTTGGGACCTCCAGAGTGAAGTGTTCCCGCTATGTAATCACTTTCTTCTCCGCTGTCTCCTCTCTCCAGCTCATCAAAATTCCAGCGATTTTTGATCAGCAACGCCACTCCTCCAACCCCCCTGTTCCCTCTGTCTTTCCTCAGGATTTGGTATCCCGTTGGAAAGATGGCATCTGTTATCATACCTGTAAGCTTGGTTTCTGTGAGAGCTATGATGTCTGGTGATGCTTCTTTGAGTCTTTCATGCCACTCCTCCCACTTATTTGTTATTCCATCAGCGTTTGTGTACCATACCTTCAGTTTCCTTTCCAACACTCTGGTTTGGGGGGCCTGTGAGGGTGGGAGACCTGGTGGCATACTGTGGGATTCTATAGCTTGGTGTTGGGTGGAGGCTGTGGGTATGGATTGTAGTGTGTGTTGGGATGGTGTGATAGGTTGTATGGTTCTGAGAATTGTTGTGTGTGTGCTTGCCCTTGCTGTTCTGTTCAGCTCTGACTGACCTCTGCTGGTTCCCTCCTTGTCTCTTTTCCTAGCTCCTTTCGCTTTTTTGTCCTCTCCCTCAGCTGCTGTCGTTCTGATTTTGTTCTGTCTCTGTCTGGGAAAACACCCTCTTGTACTCTTCCGAGTATTTCAATCGTGGTTTCTCTTGGAGGATCCTGTTCTGCACAGTTTCCGTCCTGAGAATCATCTTGATTGGTCGGTTTCTCCCCTTCGAGTACCCCCCTATTCTCTGAAAATTTACAATCTCGTCCATCTCTTCACCTATTTCCGTGATGATTTTCTCAATCTCCTTTCTTTCTTCCTGCTGCCTTTCAGTGTGTGTCCTTTCCTCTCTCTCCTGAAGCCCATGGATAAACTCTGATTTTGCCCTTTCTTCCTCCCATTGCCTCACCCTCTGTGACTCTGGATCCTGCCTGTATGTGGTCAGTTTCTCCCTTGATTTTTTCCAGTGGCTCTTGATAGCCTGGTTGTGCCTCAGCATTCGACCTATCACCCTCTCCATCTGCAACCAGCTGTTCTTCCCTTTCACTCCTTGGTCCTCCTTGGCAGGCTGATATGACCTTAGCATAATTCATAATTCCTTCCTTCCTGTTCGGCCTCGCAGCTTCATATGCTGTGTCTTCTCTGGTCACTGCCCCTGTAACTCGCTTCAGCCTATTTATCTCAACTTCTAGGACCCTTATCTTGGCTGCTGCAGTTTCGACTTGTGCCTCCCAATTCTTTGTCTCCTTCTCCAACCTCTTTTCCAATTTCATAGAGAGCTCTTTCTCCATTTTTTCAGAAAGCTCTCCTAATTTTCTCTCCCACTCTTGTTCCATCCTTTTCCACAGCTCCTCCATCCTCTCCGCCCTACCAGAACCATTCTCATCTGATCCTTGGTTCCTGCGAGTCCCCACATTTTTTTTTTTTTTTTGTGAAAGAAGAGAGAATGGAAAGGTAGAAGGAGAGAGAGAGGGGAAGAGTGAGAAGGGAAAGGGGGAGAAAGAGTGTGAGAGGGGGAAAGAGAGAGAAGGGAAGGGAAGGAGAGGGGGAGAGTGAGAAGGGAAAAATGGAGAAGAGATGGAGAGAGAGAGCGAGAGAGAGAGAGAGAGGGAGAGAGGGAGAGAGGAAGGGAGAGTGAGAGAGAGACGGGGAGAGAGAGTGAAGGGAAGAGTAGGAGAGGGGGAGAGTTAGAAGGGAAAATGGGGAAGAGAGTGAGGGAGAGAGGGAGAGAGGGAGAGAGGGAGAGAGGGAGAGAGGAAGGGAGGGAGAGAGGGAGAGAGGAAGGGAGAGTGAGAGAGAGAGGGGGAGAGAGAGTGAAGGGAAGAGTAGGAGAGGGGGAGAGTTAGAGGGAAAATGGGGAAGAGAGAGAGCAAGAGAGAGAGAGAGAGCAAGAGAAAGAGAGAGAGAGAGAGAGAGAGGGAGAGAGGGAGAGAAAGAGAAAGAGAAGGCAAAGAGGGGGAGGGGAGAGGGGGCAGAGAGGGGAGAAGGGGGAAAGAGGGGGGAGATGGAAGAGCGAGAGGGGAGAGAGGCTAGGGGGAGAGGGAGGGGAGGAGGGGAGAGAGATGGGGAAAAGGGAAGAGGGGAGAGATAATGGGGGGGAGAGATGTTAGAGGGGGAGAGATGTTAGAGGGGGGGAGGTGTTAGAGGTAAGAGATGTTAGAGGGGAGAGATGGGAGAGGGAATAGAGAGAGAGAGATAGGTAGAGAGTGATAGGTAGAGAGAGAGATATAGGTAAAGAGTGAGAAAGGTAGAGATAGGTCTCTACTTAGGATAGGAAGAGGGGGGGAGAGGAGCAAGGTTCAGATGGTCAGTTCACAGGACGGTGTGAAATCCTGTGTATGTGTGTGTTTGCGTGTGTACTACAGCTTACAAGTGCTTGTTCCTGTTAGTTACCATTTTGTCCTAGGCACATGTCGATTAGACACTAGGCCTGTTGTGTGTGTGTGTAGGTGTGTATGTGTGTGTGTGTGTGTGTGTGTGTGTGTGTGTGTGTGTGTGTATGTGTGTGTGTGTGTGTGTGTGTGTGTGTGTGTACTCACCTATTTGTGGTTGCAGGGGTCGAGTCTTACCTCTGTGTGTGTAGGTGTGTAGGTTGTGTGTGTGTGTGTGTGTGTGTGTGTGTGTTACCATTTTGTCCTAGGCACATGTCGATTAGACACTAGGCCTGTTGTGTGTGTGTAGGTGTGTAGGTGTGTGTGTGTGTGTGTGTGTGTGTGTGTGTGTGTGTGTGTTAGTTACCATTTTGTCCTAGGCACATGTCGATTAGACACTAGGCCTGTTGTGTGTATGCAGGTGTGTAGGTGTGTAGGTGTGTGTGTGTTAGTTACCATTTGGTCCTAGGCACATGTCGATTAGACACTAGGCCTGTTGTATGTGCAGGCATGTGTGTGTGTGTGTGTGTGTATGTGTGTACTCACCTAATGGTACTCACCTAATTGTGGTTGCAGGGGTCGAGACTCAGCTCCTGGCCCCGCCTCTTCACTGATCGCTACTGGGTCCTCTCTCTCTCTCTCTGCTTCCTGAGCTTTGTCATACCTCTTCTTAAAACTATGTATGGTTCCTGCCTCCACTACTTCACTTGCTAGGCTATTCCACTTCCTGACAACTCTATGACTGAAGAAATACTTCCTAACGTCCCTGTGACTCGTCTGAGTCTTCAGCTTCCAGTTGTGACCCCTTGTCCCTGTGTCCCCTCTCTGGAACATCCTATCTCTGTCCACCTTGTCTATTCCCCGCAGTATCTTGTATGTCGTTATCATGTCTCCCCTGACCCTTCTGTCCTCCAGTGTCGTCAGTCCGATTTCCCTTAACCTTTCCTCGTACGACATTCCCTTGAGCTCTGGGACTAGCCTTGTTGCAAACCTTTGTACTTTCTCTAACTTCTTGACGTGCTTGACCAGGTGTGGGTTCCAGACTGGTGCTGCATACTCCAGTATGGGCCTAACATACACAGTGTACAGTGTCTTGAACGATTCCTTATTAAGGTATCGGAACGCTATTCTCAGGTTTGCCAGGCGCCCGTATGCTGCAGCAGTTATTTAGTGTGTGTGTGTGTGTGTGTGTACTCACCTAGTTGTACTCACCTAGTTGAGGTTGCGGGGGTCGAGTCCGAGCTCCTGGCCCGCCTCTTCACTGATCGCTACTAGGTCACTCTCCCTGAGCCGTGAGCTTTATCATACCTCTGCTTAAAGCTATGTATGGATCCTGCCTCCACTACATCGCTTCCCAAACTATTCCACTTACTGACTACTCTGTGGCTGAAGAAATACTTCCTAACATCCCTGTGATTCATCTGTGTCTTCAGCTTCCAACTGTGTCCCCTTGTTACTGTGTCCAATCTCTGGAACATCCTGTCTTTGTCCACCTTGTCAATTCCTCTCAGTATTTTGTATGTGTGTGTGTGTGTGTATGTGTGTGTGTGTGTGTGTATGTGTATGTGTGTATGTGTATGTGCGTGTGCGTGTGTGTGTGTATGTATGTGTGTTTGTATGTGTATGTGTGTGTGTGTGTGCGTGTGCGTGTGGCGTGTGCGTGTGCGTGTGTGGCGCATAGATGGTGTGTGTGTGCGTGTGTGTGTGTGTGTGCGTGCGTGTGCTGTGTGCGTGTGCGTGTGTGTGTTTGTGTGTGTTGTGCCGTGTGTGCGCCGTGCCGTGTGAGTCGATGTGTGTGTGCGTGTGTGTGTGCGTTGTGTGCGTTCTGTGGTGCGTGTCGTGTGCGTTGGTGTGGGTGTAATCGTGTGTGCGTGTGTGTGCGTGTGGTTGTGCGTGTGTGTGTTGTGTGTGTTGTGTGTGCGGGTGCGTGTGTGTGCGTGTGTGAGCGTGTGTTGTGCGTGGTGTTGGTGCGTGTGGTGTGGTGCGCGTGTGGGTGTGTGTGCGTGCGGTGTGTGTGTGCGTGTGTGTGGTGCGTGTGTGTGTGCGTGTGTGTGTGTGTGTATGCGTGTGCGTGTGCGTGTGTGTGCGTGTACGTGCGTGTGCGTGTGTGTGCGTGTGCACAAATCATCAACAGGAGGAGGTCTGCATGTTCACACATATTCAGTCAATGTCATGGCTATTGTTTGTACGGGGATTCGCTATACGGGGATTCGCTATACGGGGATTCGCTATACGGGGATTCGCTATACGGGGATTCGCTATACGGGGATTCGCTAAACCCAAAAGAGGTCATGCACCTCACAGAAAATTAAAGTCAGCTTGAAAAAATGAAGAGTAAGGTAGATCAAATTATTTTCCCTTACAGAGGCTGAGCCCCTGAAACAGACATATATTTCAGTAAACATTTTAATGTTTGTCTCTCAGCTTGAGTCCAGCCTCGTTTTTCATCATTAAACATATATTAATGTAACATTTGATATCTTCAACAGTGAGTTAAGGACATCGTCACAATGAGAACTGTGTTGATTGTGTTTCTGTTGGCAACTGTGTTGCTGGCAGCTGCTGCCCCTCAAGCAACTAATACGTCTGCAACAACCGGGCAACAAGGTAGTCCAGATGTCAGTGGCACAGTGATGGACATTAATTTCCCACCACCAATTAACGTAAAATTAGTCAGCAAATGATACACAGGTGAGTAACAACAGCACTTCACCTGACACAGGTGAGTAACAACAGCACTTCACCTGACACAGGTGAGTAACAACAGCACTTCACCTGACACAGGTGAGTAACAACAGTACTTCACCTGACACACAGGTGAGTAACAACAACACTTCACTTGACACAGGTGAGTACAACAGCACTTCACCTCACAGGTTGAGTAACAACAGCATTCACCTGACACAGTGGTAACAACAGGCACTTACCTGGACACAGCTGAGTAACAACAGTACTTCACCTGACACAGGTGAGTAACAACAGTACTTCACCTGACACAGGTGAGTAACAACAGCACTTCACCTGACACAGGTGAGTAAACAAACAGTACTTCCACCTGACACAGGTGCAGTAACAACAGTATTCACTGGACCACAGGTGAGTACAACAGCACTTCACCTGACACAGAGTGAGATTAAACACAGTACTTCACCTGACACAGGTGAGTAACAACAGTACTTCACTGACACACAGGTGTGTACACAACACTTCACCTTGACACACAGGTGAGTTAACAACAGCACTTCCACCTGACACAGGTGAGTAGCAAAACAGTACTTCACCTGAGACAGGTGAGGTAACAACCAGTACTCACCTGACACATGTGAGTAACAAACAGTTCTTCACCCTACAAGGTGAGTAGCAACAGTACTTCACTGGCACAGGTGAGTAGCAACAGTGCTTCCACCTGAACAGGAGAGTAACAACAGTACTTCACCTGACACAGGTGAGTAGCAACAGTACTTCACCTGGCACAGGTGAGTTAGAAACAGTGCTTTCACCTGTCACAGGTGAGTAACAACAGTACTTCACCTGACACACAGAGGGAGTAACAACAACACTTCACTCCTGGACACAGGTGAGTTAGCAACAGTACTTCACCTGGACTCAAAGGTGAGTAAACACCAGTCTTCACTGACTCACAGGTGGAGTAGCAACAGTACTTCACTGACACAGGTGAGTAGCACACGTACTTCACCTGTCACAGGTGAGTAGCAACGTACTTCACCTGACACGGGTGAGTAACAACAGTAATACACCTGACCACAGGTGAGTAGCAAAGTACTTCACCTGACCACAGGTGAGTAGCAAACAGTACTTCACCTGACACAGGTGAGTCGCAAACAGTACTTCACCTGATGACCTGACAAGTTTCTGGGCCCCTATGTGCTCCAAGTTCTCCTAGGTCAATATTCTTTGTGACTGAAGTCGCCCACAATCAGTAGCTTCGCCTGCTCTTATAAGCCCGTCTGGCCACTTCAGCCTGTGTGTCAACCATCATCTGTTACTTATCATAACTCTTGCCTTGGCCTCCCCCCCCCTCCTGCTGTTCTGTGGTGGTGAGGTTATACATCCTGCAATTACTCACCTTCTGTCTCCTCTCTCCAGCTCATCAAAATCCCCTGGCCCGGCCTCTTCACCTCTTCACTGATTGCTACTGGGTCCTCTCTGTCTCTGCTCCCTGAGCTTAGTCATACCTCGTCTTAAAGCTATGTATGGTTCCTGTCTCCACTACATCACTTGCCTAGTTCATTCCCCTTCTGAACGACTCTATGAATTAAGAAATATTTCCTGACATCCCTGTGACCAGTCTGAGTCCTCAGCTTCCAATTGTGACCCTTTTTTTCTGTGTCCCCTCTCTGGAACACCCTGTCTCTGTCCACCTTATCTATTCCATGCAGTATTTGCTGTCGTTATCAATCTTTCCCTGACCCTCCTGTCCTCAAGAGTCGTCAGCCCGATTTCTCTCAACTTTTCTTTGTAGGACATTCCCCTGAGCTCCGGAACTAACCTTGTTGCAGACCTTTGTACTTTCTCTAATTTCTTATTGTGCTTGACCAGGTGTGGGTTCCAAACTGGTGCTGCGTACCCCTGTATGGGCCTGACGTACAAAAGTGCAGAGTGTTTTGGACGATTCCTTATTAAGGTATCGGAATGTATTGGTGTGTGTTTGTGTGTGTTTGTGTGTGTTTGTGTGTGTGTGTGTGTGTGTATTCACCTAATTGTGGTTGAAGGGGTCGAGACTCAGCTCCTGGCCCCGACTCTTCACTGATCGCTACTAGTTCCTCTCTCTTTCTGCTTCCAGAGCTCTGTCTACCCGTCTTAAACTAGTATGGTTCCTGCCTCCACTACATCACTTGCTAGGCTATTCCATTTCGTGACGACTCTATGACTGAAGAAATACTTCCTAACGTCCCTGTGACTCGTCTGAGTCTTCAGCTTCCAATTTTGACCCTTTGTTTCTGTGTCCCCTCTCTAGAACATCCTGTGTCTGTCTACCTTGTTCATTCCACGCAGTATTTTGTATGTTATCATGTTTTCCCTGACCCTCCTGTCCTCCAATGTCGTCAGTCCGATTTCCCTCAACCTTTCTTCGTAAGACATTTCCCTGAGCTCCGGAACTAACCTTGTTGCAAACCTTTGCACTTCTCTAACTTCTTGACGTGCTTGACCGGTGTGGTTTCTAAACTGGTGCTGCATACTCCAGTATGGGCCTGATGTACACAGTGTACAGTGTCTTGAACGATTCCTTACTAAGTATCGGAACGCTATTCTCAGGTTTTGCCAAGGCACCCATATGCTGAGCAGTTATCTGGTAGATGTGTGCCTCCGGAGACATGCTCGGTGTTATGGTCACCCAAGATCTTTTCCTTGGCGAGGTTTGCTTTCCTTGGCCACCCTGGTTATACTATGTCTGCGGTCTTTTTGCCCCTCTCGATTTTCATGACTTCTGTATTTTGCAGGCGTTGAATTCAAGAAGCCAGTTGCTGGACCACCTGTCCAGCTTCCAGGTCTCTTTGGTAGTCCTGCCTGATCCTCATCCGATTTGATTCTTTTCATTAACTTCACATCATCGCAACAAGGACATTCTGAGTCTATCCCTCCTTTATGGCGTTCACATATACAAGAAACAGCACAGTCTGGGACGCCCTGTGGAACCCCGCTTGTAACAGGCGCCCACTCTGACACCTGTCACGTACCATGACTCGTTGTTGCCTCCGCCGGGTCAGTATTCTATGATCCATTGCAGTGCCACCCCTTTCCTGTTATGTTGTTGCCTGATTCCTCTAGCTTTTGCATAAACCTCCTATGAGGAACTGTGATCGAAGGCCCTTCTTGCAGTCCAAAAAAAATGCATTCATCCACCCCTCCTCTCTCTGTCTTACTTCTGTCACCTTGTCATAAAACTCTAGTAGGTTGTGACACAGGATTTTCCTTCTCTGAAACCGTACTGGTTGTCAATTTACACTTGTTTCTTTCCAGGTGCTCCACCATCTCCTGCTGATTTGACTCATCTAATGACCATTGCATTATACACGTAGTGATACAGGTCTGTAGTTTAGTGCCTCATGTTCTGTCTCCCTTTTTAACATTGGGGACTGCATTTGCCATCTTCCATAACCCTCAGGGAGTTGCCCAGTTTCAAAATGTTAGATGTTGAAGATCTTTGGTAATGGCCATCACAATATCTCTGCTCTTCTTTAAGGGACCCATGGAGAGATGTTGTATGGTCCCACCGCCTTTGAGGTGTCAAGTTCGACATAGCAGCTTCTTCACCTCCACCTTTTTTATTATGTACCTCATCCAGCACTTGCTGGTGTACCCCCCTGTTATGATTTCTGGAAGTTTTTTTTCCCCCCCCTACTGGTTTCCACTGGTAAAATCTTGTGTTGAGCTTCCTGACAAACTCTCCGGTCGTTTCTTGTGAATTCCCCATCACCTTCCTCAGTTGATTACCTGGTCCTTGACTGTTGTTTTCCTCCTGATGGGCTATCAACTGCTTCGGGTCACTCTTGACTTTCGATGCTATTTCATTTTTCATATTGTCGCTGAGCTCCTTCTTATCTAGTGCATATTTCGTTTCTGGCTCTTCGGCAAATCTCTTTATTTTTGAGTTCTCTGTCCTTTCTTGTACCTTTTCCATTTCTAGTACACCTTTTTTTGGCCTCCATGCACCTTATGTGTGAACCAAGGGACTCGTTCTGTTCATTCCCCATTATTTTCTGTTTCCCTTGGGAACAAACTCTCCTCTGCCTCCTTGCGTTTTGTTGCCACATAGTCCATCATTTCTTGTACTGCGGTTTTCCTGTCAGTTCCCTCTCCCACTGAATGTCTAGAAGACGGATGTTCCTCATGCCTGAGTAGTTCCCCCTTTTTGTAGTTTGGTTTTAACCACCCTATCCTGCTACTCTCTCCACTTGGAGCTCAATTATGTAGTCGAAGCACAGAACTAAATGATCACTAGCTCAGGGGCTTGCATACATGATATCCTCGATGTCCGAAATATCAAGGTGAATATACAAGGTCCAGTCTTGCGGGTTCATCTTCTCCTCTCTCTCTGGTTGTGTCTCTAACTGTGATGCATGAGGTTTTCCAAGCTACCACATCCATCATTTGGCTCTCCCATGTTTCTGACCCCCAGGGGCTCCAGGTTTTTCCCCAGTCAATCTTCCATGTGATTGAAATCACCATAACTAGTAACTTTGCTCCCCCCATGTGTGTGCTTCCTGGCCACCTCGCTAGTGTGTCGACCATTGCCTCTGTTGCTTCATTGTTTCTTCCTCTTGGTCTCCTGCTAGTTCTGTGGGGGTTGTACATTACTGCAATTATCACCTTTTTGTTCCTTAGACTGGATTGTTCCTCCTAAGTAGTCCCTTTTCGCCCGTGCCATCCATTCCTTCCATTGTCTCAAAAATCCACTGATTTTTAATGAGCAGTGCAACTCCTCCTCCCCCTCTTCCTCCCTTGTCTTTCCTGAGGATTTGATAACCGGATGGAAAGATTGAAATCTGTCATACTGTTTTGGTGAGTTTTGTTTTCTGTGAGTGCGATTATGTCTTGGGGATGTCTCCTAGATTCTTTCATGCCATCCTCATACTTATGTGTTATTCCATCTGCATTGTGTACACACCTTCAACTTCTTTTTCTTAAGACTGTGGTTCTGGGAGGTGTATTGGGGTTGGGGAAGTGGGAGACATGATAAGGAACTCTGGGTGGTTTGCTGTGTGGGTGGAGTTTGTAATGTAGTGGGTCGGGGGGCATTGGATATGGCACTGGGTGTTTTGGGTTTAGAGGTGTTTGTTGCACTGGGGTGACCTGGTTGGGGGGCTTCTATAGGAAGTTTGAGGGAGGCTGGTATTTGATCTTCTTCCTGTGTTCTGGGATTCCTGTCTTATTCTCACCCCCTCTCTTTTCCTCCCTTTCGCCTTTTGTACCATTCTCTGTTTCTGCCTTTCTTTGTGTTCTGTCGCAGTCGAGATATCACCTTCCTGTATGCGCATAGTCCCTAAATCGTGCTTTCTCAGGCAGGATCCTGTTCTGGTCGATTGCCTGAAGGTCACTTTACACTGGCGGGTTTTTTTTTTTACAAAACCCCCCTATTCTCTGAGAAATTTTTCCAGCTGGGTCATGTCGTCCTTCTCCTATTGCTCTTTCATTGATGCTTTCAATTGCTTTTTTTACCCCTGGTTTTTTGCTTCATATGTTTCCCTTCAAACTTCCTGGCGCCCTTACACAAAACTGACCTCACCCTTTCATTCTCCCACTGCATATCCCTGTGTATCCCCTCATTCAATTTGACTTTCCTCCTTGAAGCTTTCTTCTTAAGTTTCAACTAGCTAATGTACTTGGGCTCAGTGGCCTGTCATATTCCCTTCTCGGCTTTCCCTGGGCGTGCTGTGGGTCTGTTAGAGCCTCACACATATAGCTTAGCTTTTTCATTTTACTTGTACAGTTCACTTGATAGAGCTTCTTCATGCAGGTTTTTGTCCTCTTTCCCTACAGTCCCCTTATTTGTAACTGAGGTTAGCAAGGTCTTCTGTTGTCGATCCCAAAATGTTCTTTAGGCTGTTTCAGATTTTTCAGTTCCTCTTCTAAACTCTGTATCCTAGCCTCTGCTGCTTTGACTTGCACCTCCCACTTCCTGCTTTCCATACTATCCTGTGTGCGTTGTATGTGTGTGTGTGTGTGTGTGGTGTTTGTGTGTGTGGTGCTGTGTGGTGTGTGTGTGTGTGTGTGTGTGTTTTGTAAAATAAATAATTAGTTTTAACTGAATATAGAAACAAATGCCACAATATGTTACTCAAACGAATTTCTAATAAAACTTTATAGGATGTAGTGTTGACGACGTTGAAAAGCCTCATACCTGTTGGACGACCGTGAAGCCTACTACCTGGTGAACGGACCGTGAAGCCTACTACCTGTTGACGACCGTGAAAGCCTATACTGTTGAGACCGTGAAGCCTATACCTGTATGACGACCGTGAAGCCTTCTACCTGTTGACGTGAAAGACTACTACCGTTGACGGACCGTGAAGCTACTACCCGTTGACGACCGTGCTTGATGGGTACTACCTGTTGACGGACCGTGATGCCTACTCCTGTTGACGGACTTCGTTGAAAGCCTACTACCCGTTGACGACCGTGATGCCTACTCCCATGACGACCGTGTGATGCCTACTACCTGTTGACGACCGTGATGCTACTACTGTTGACGACCGTCGATGATGCCTACTTCCTGTTGACGACCGTGATGCCTACACCTGTTGACGCATGCTGCCTACTACCCGTTGGGGAACCGGGGGACCGGATGCCTACTACCTGTTGGGACGACCGAGATACCCACTACCTGTTGTCGCGACCGCGAAGTTACCCACTACCTGTTGACGGGACCGAGATACCCACTACCTGGTTGACGACGAGATACCCATTCTGTTGACCGACATGTTACCCACTACTGTTCATGTTTCATCACTCCATTTGGTTCAAGATCAATAAAAACAATAATGAAAAATGAACAGAAAAAAAAATTAATGTAAATTAAATTGAGAAAACATCTTCACAAAAGTATGAAGCAACAAATATTAGTAAATAATCCTTAAATGATTACTAAAATATTTTAAGATCAGAACAATACCTGTAGACGCATTCTTTCTCAATCAGGAATGTTTCCTTGATCTTTGTAATTCTACCATAGCCGCTGTAACATACCTCTCACTTCACTTCTCACTTCACTTCCAGCACTTCATGTCTTTCATATTTCTTCATGTATTAGTCTGAATAAATTTGCATTTAGTAAATTATTTTTTCCTATTCCTATTAATGTTACAATATAAGGATAGTATCTTCAACTGAGTCCTGGAAGGATAGGATCTTCAACCTGGCGTCCTGGAAGGAGGATCATTCAACCTGGAGTCCTGGTTTAAGAAGGAGAGAAAGGAAGTACTTGGAGAAGGTTGGGAAAGAGGACTGAGAAAGTGTGAGAGGAAGATAGATTCTCCTAGGGAGATAACATTTTGGAAAAGGCAACAGTAAATCAAGGTCTTACAGGTCTTCCCATTTCCATGTCTCTGACATGAAGTCTTGAAGCTTACATAGCTGCTAAAATACCTATTTTATGGTACTTCAAAGATGTACTTTATCACCCTACTTATATCTCCTGTTCCACCCTCGTTTCTTTCACCCGGTGTAGGAAACACCATCCCTTGTGTCATATAATGATGAGGAACCATTGGTAGGCTCTTCTTCATATTACGTAACTGTCATAGAACACAGCAGCAGCAGCACAGCACACAGCTTATGTATCCAGTATTGTAACAAAAAAATGCGTAGCATGTACTGTATGTGTCCTCTCAGCAGTCATTGGCTTACACTGGCATGTCCCTCTCACTTCACTCTATAATAATAATAATAATAATAATAATAATAATAATAATAATAATAATAACAATATCTTTATTTCCACAAGTACATAGTTAACAAGGTATACAGGACCATAACGTGACATCATGACAAACTAGTATATAGAAACGCCCTTATTATGAGCATTTCGGACAAATTATTTTAGTTTTGTCCCAGGATGCGACCCTCACCAGTCTACTAACACCCAGGTACCCATTTTACTGATGGGGAACATAGAAAACCGGCGTAAAGAAACACTCTTAATGTTTCTACCCAGGCCGGCAGTCGTAACCAGGACCCCCCCCCCCCCCTCGCCGTGATGAAGCTGAGAGTTTTAGCCAACCCCAGGCTACGGGGCACGTGGCCTGGTGGACCACTGATTTTTCGGCATGCAATCAGATTTAGGAAGGTAGCTGCTGGCCTTTTGCCAGGCTGGAGTTGCCATGATTCACATAATTACAATTACCAACAGAACAAGGTTGTGATGTAGTTCAGTTGGGCTTGTGAGGTCTCTTGGGAGACCTAATTTAACCAATTATATGGTCACACCTTGCCTTGGCAAACGTCTGTCAGCCACGCCCACGTCTGAGGGTTTTTTTTTCTTGACGCGTCAGACCTAGGCCGTCAGGTGATCGTTACACGTGGTTGTGGAGGGTGCTTGGACCACCATAAAAGCCCAAGGAAGAGAATGATCAGGAGATTCGAGCGGAGCTGCTGCTGGGGTGCAGAGCTCCTGAGCAGAGACTTCGAGCTGGAGGGTGCTGGGGTGCAGGGGCTCGGAGAAGGTGCTGCTGAAGTCTCTGAGTGATGTTGGAGGGCATTGGGCCAGCAGTACTGGCTTGGTGCTGTACTCGTGCTGTGTAGGTCTTGGGACTGTGGCTTAGTCCTGTAGTGGAACTGTCTCTGTACTTATATTGTAAAGTTATATTCATTTTCGTCAAGTTGATTGTGTTCCTGTCTCACTGCTTATGTGTACCACCCCTTTATCTAAACCCCAATAATGTTCTTCTGTTCCAATTATATTTTTGTACAGGACTTAAATAATAAACTGTGTTTTTGGCTTGAAATAGTTAATATGTTTTTTTTTTTTTTTTTCCCCACCCCTGGGTCCCCGTTATTTTTCTATTCTTTTTCTATATGTTATTATGCCTTTTATATGAGAAACATTAAGAGTGTGAGATGTCCCCAGCCTACGTTTTGACTTGCCAGAAGAGTGTTAGTGTTACCTGTGTGAATTAAGTGACTTGATACGGTCCATGATTATGGCTGCCTTTGTTTTATGAGGCAGTGGAATCCTAGTAGTGGCATAGGATAATGGAGGCGTCTTAGCTGCGATGCTAGCCCTGTCTCGATTTTCAGATGTAGTGTGATGTGAAGCTGTTGCGAAAATGCGGACCTTGGTGGTTCGTGAAGTGGTCCAGTTGCAGTTATTGAAAGAGCAACCCGTTGGCAGCAGTTTTCCACGCAAAGAAAGCTAGAGAGGTTTTGGCCAATGGATAACGTGCGAGGTGACTAGCTTGGCTTAGTGCATTTCTAGTAGAAGTAGGGAAGGCAACTGGAGCCGATATTTGTTTTATGGAGAAATGATGGTAAGAGGCTGTGCACCAGAGAGCAACTATTATGCTGGTCAAAACTGCGAGGTGTACTGAATTATTACTGCCTTGTGGTAGTTGAGGGAGGCTGAGGGAAATATATGTACTGAATAATTTAGTATTATGTATAATTTGTCTTTGTATTGGAATAGATTTAAGGTTTTAGATTAAAATAATTAATAAACTAGGACAAATTGTCTAGTTCTCAGATATTTCTAAATTGGGGGAGGAAAGGGGAATGTGATCTGTAGTTCAGTTTGGGCTTGTTGAGGTCTCATTGGGAGCCTAATTTAACCAATTATACGGTCCACCTTGCCTTGGCAAACGTCTGTAGCCACGCCCACGTTGAGGTCTTTTGTTCTTTGATGCGCATCAGACCTAGGAGACCTAACGGCGGTCGTACACGTGGTTGTGGAGGGTGCCTTGGTACCACAATAAAAGACACTTGAAAAGGTAAGAGCATGATCAGGAGGATTTCGGAGCGGAGCGGCTTGCTGGGGGCAAGGGTCTGGGGGCAGAAGGTGCTGACAGTCTCTGGAGACTGTTGGAGGCAATTTGGTCAGAGTACTGGCTTGTGCGCTCAGTACTCGTGCTGTGTAGGGTCTTGGGCCTGTGTGCTTAGTCTCCGTAAGTGAACTGTCCTCTGTACTATATCGTAAGTTATATTCATTTTCGTCAAGTTGATTGTGTTCCCTGTCTCACTGCTTATGTGTACCACCCCATTTATCTAAACCCCAATAATGTTCTCCTGTTCCCAAATATATTATTGTACAAGGACTTAATAATAAACTATGTTTGAGTAGAATAGTAATATTCACTGTCCCCGTTATTTTCTATTCTTTTTTCTTATATTTTATTATGTTTATATATGAGTGAAAAGTGGGCGAGGCATATGTTAGTGAGTAGTGTAGAGTTAATGAGAGTGTCGTGGTGGTCACCACTGACCTGTCATTACCTACCTACCTCCGCTAATCATCTCACTCCTACCACCTCGCCTGCCTCTCCCCTGCCTTCATAATCCCTTACTCCCATATTCCCCACTTATTTCCGATACATTCCAATCCCCCCCTACATGACAAGGTGTGTTTCCAAGCAGAGTTAAGCGCTAAGTAGGCAAAGGCGTAGCAATGAATCATTTAAACAAATTCATACAAAGAGGGATAAGAAAATGATGTAAAATAAAAAATAAAAAAAGATGAAAACAAGCAAGCAAGAAGAAACAGCATTTATCTTCCTCGAGTACTGCTGATGTTGCGTGTAATAAAGCTATGTCCATAAAATAAGGAAGAAGTGTGAATATCTGAACAATAAAAAGACATATCTTGGTAGGTTTGGTAAGTGATCTATAGCAATCATTTATCGAAGACAAGTGAGAGGGAGAGGATTAACTGTGGCTCGACATCTCAAGACAGTACCCGAAGCCTCATCGCTGTCAGACACCTATGCAGGATCGCAAGTGCCCCTATTTTGTGGATACTAGAGTGTTGAGTTTCAAGTAATTGACCTTCCATAAGCCGGAAGCGAAGGGTCCACTCAACCCTGCTTGAGCTAGGAATACAGTTACTGGAAAGCAGATTCTAATAAAAAATTAACTCCGTGGTTCTTCAGATCTGCTTAAGGCACATTCCATTAAGAAAAAGAAAGAGAAGATGTAAACTAGAAAGAGCTGCTGAGAGGGTCCAATATATCTGAAATACAAGAGCGGCACTGGTCAATGAAATAGCAAATATCGAACTTAAACTGAAGGAATCTTTCAGGAAACAAGAATCGCAGGAAGAACTAGAAACCATAAAGGAAATTGAAAAACAAACAAAATACTTCTTCTCTTATACAAAATCTAAGGAAAAGACATTCAGTATTGAGCCCCTGTTTAGGCGAGATGGGACATACACAGATGACAGCAAAGAAATGCGACTCTGTTCAGTGAGCGGTTACCCAGACTAAGGGTAGACAATCCAAATGAATTCTTTATGACCGAGACCCAAAATATGGTTATCTCAAAAATCTCTGATGTTACCCTAACACCACAAGACTTTGAAAAGACAACAAATGACATGCCCATGAACTCTGCGCCATGGGACACATGGAACTCCGTGTTCATCAAGAGCTGCAAGAAGCTCCTGTTGCATTCCTTCAGCATTTTATAGAGAGGGAACATGGACACAGGCGTCATCCCACATTCACTAAAACAACAGACATAGCCACAAAGGGGGCAGTAAAGCAATTGCAAAGAACTACAGACCGATAGCACTAACATCCCATATCATAAAAATCTTTAAAAGGGTTCTAAGAAGCAAGATCGCCAACCACCTAGATGCCCATCACTTACACAACCCAGGGCAACATGGTCCTGCATGCTATAGAGAATAAACAAAATGCAGATACATAGATTTTGAAAATCCTTCGACAAGTGTGACCACGGTGTAATAGCACACAAAAATGTGATAAAGAAAAGCAGGAAAAGTTGGTAGATGGATCTATAACTTCCTGGCAAATAGAACACAAAGAGTAATAGTAAACAGAGTAAAGTCTGAGGCAGCTACTGTGAAAGACTCCGTTCCACAAGGCACAGTACTTGCTCCCATCATATTCCTTATCCTCATATCTGACATAGACAGAGATGTAGGCCATAGCTCTGTGTCTTCCTTTGCAGATGACACTCGAATTGCTATGGCAGTGTCCTCCAATGAAGACACCGCAAGACTCCAAGCGGATATCAGCCAAATCTTCAAATGGGCCACTCAGTATAAAATGAAGTTTGCTGAGGTCAATACA